CCCGACTGAGAACCTCTATCAACAATTAATCATCTATATTTATTATCTAAAAGTTCCACAATCTCTAATTAAAGGGAAAACCTAGTAATTCTGGCAAATAGCTCTTTTTTTTTTTTTTTTAAGATTTTATTTGTTTATTTGACAGAGGGAGAGACAGCGAGAGAGGGAACACAAGCAGGGGGAGTGGGAGAGGGAGAAGCAGGCTTCCCACGGAGCAGGGAGCCCAATGCGGGACTCGATCCCGGGACTCCAGGATCACGACCTGAGCCGAAGGCAGTCGCTTAACCGACTGAGCCACCCAGGCGCCCCTCAGTGTGGCTTTCATTTGCATTTTCTTTTTATGGTAACGATGAGTATCTCTCATATTTAGTTTTCTGGAAACCGTACCTCTGCCTACCCTCCGGCGCATCGTTCTGGTGGTCTTTCCTCAATTTCTCGGAACTCTTCATATGTTGGGGAGGTTGAGTTGCAAAGACGTCTTCCCAGATTGTCTTTTTTGACTTTGCTTAGAGGGTTTTTTTTTCTTGAAATGCAGACCTTTCTTCATGTAATTAATAGAGGTCTCTTTTCCAGCCTCTGCGTTCTGAGTTGTAGCTAAAAGCTTATGTTTGATTCGAATACTGTTTGGGGTTGAGAATTTTCACTTAAGTATTTGCTATTTGCTATTTAGCTTGTGTGCAGGTGGAGGTTTGGATCTGATTTGATCTTTTTCCAGACGGTTCCTCCATTGCTTGACATTTTGTAAAAGTGTCTTTGCCCTCGGTGACCTAAGAGGCGGCCACACCATGCCCTGACTGCCCGTTAGCATCGGGGTCTGTCTTTGGACCTTCGATCTTTCCGTGGGTCTGGCTGTCTGTCCCTGACCAGCACGACACGGCTCGGCTTATTGTGTTTTCATATCTGTAGGACAGTCTCCTTTTATGGCTCTTTTTCAGAGCTTTCCTGCTATTCTTGCTAAAAATGTTGTTGGCATATCACATATGTACATTTAACTAGTACTAGTAATACTAGTGATACCAGACCTACTCCTGTACCCCTCCCCGCACCGGCCAACACTAGAACAGCACCCATTCCTTTGAACCCTGTGTGTCCCCTTCTCTGCGACCCAGAGGCAAACATCTACTTATCCCTCAAGCAACTTTTTGAGCACCTACTGTGTGGCAGCCCCGTTCTCGGGCCTGGGGAACCCAGCCAGGGCTGAGACACCAAGCTGTTGTCCTCCGGGAAGCTGCATTCTAGCGGAGGAGAGGTGCATGCGGGTGGAATGCTTTAGGAAGTGCTGAGTGATGAGGGGAGCCCTCCGGGGGGACGGGAGAGGTCCCCGTGAGAAGGCTGTGAGTCTGCTTACTTATGAATTTGGTTGTGACTTGAAATGGGAGGCTGAGAGCCTGGCTGGGAAGGCATGTGGTGCAGAGACTCGTGGGAAGGAGGAGGCCGCCCTGCTTCTCTTTGGTGTCACGTTTGTGGGATTTACCCAGTAGCTCCAATCCACGGTTTCCCAAGTAGAGGGGGTCCCCTGACAACCCCCCACCCCGAGAGCTCACTTCTCAGGTGGCCTCCCGGATCTGTGATTCTGTCTCTGAAGGGGGCATCGCCCAAGCATGGAATTGCTGGGAATCTGTCCTCGCCAGGTGAGGTCCAGCTTGTCCACCATCAGGACCGTGGCAGAGAACCACGGTTCAGCCCACGGGTGGGACCACGGGCCTCCCGACCCCGCCAACCTTCTTTTCTTTCCAACACATGATGGCATGGATTCTTCTTAGCTGTCGGGTGCTTCCTGGGGTCTGAAGATCACGTGACCACCCTAAGGTTCTCAGGGATGACGGCCACTGTGCCAGATAGGGTAACCGTCCACCACCGTCTTTCTGCGCTGTTCTGTGGGGTGGCTGAGGAGGCACCCATGGGGGCCATGCCGGTCCATGGCCGGGTGGCAGCAGCCAAGCTCTGAGGACACCAGTCCAGGCTGAAGAAGGGCGCCCTGGCCGGAAGGGCCCTGGGTCCCCAGGGAAGCCCTGTGGGGTCCCTCACCCTGACAGGCAGCACTGAGGCCCCGTCTTTGTGCTTCCATTCCAGGTCTAATAATGAATAGAGACCGGAGGATGGCTTTGGTGAGTGCTGCTCTCTTTTTCTTTTGTTATTATGGTACATTATATGTAGCATAATAGTTATGCTGTGCTGTGTATTTTAAAATCACTCCTGAGTGTCCAGTTCAGTGACAGTCCATTCGCAATGTTGTACAACCATCATTTCGTCCACATTTTTCATCATCCCCCATAACAACCCGGTACCCACTGAACACCAGGTCCCCACCCACTCACAGCCCCTGGTGGCCGCCATTCTATCTTCTGTCTATGAACTTGGCTGCTCCCGGGACCTCATGTCAGTGGAATCAGGCCGTATTCAAGGCTCATCCAGGTCCCAGCAGGGTGCCCGAACGTCCCCTCCTTTTCTGACCGAACAACATTCCGTTTATGTGGATCTGTCCATTCATCCATTGAGAGACACTTGGGTTGTTTCCGCCTTTGGTTATTATGAATCCTGCTGCTGTGAACACGGGTGATGACTATCAGTTTGAGTCCTTGCTCTCGGTTCTTCTGGACATACACCTAGGAGCAGAATTGCTGGGTCGCACAACAGTCCTGTGTTGAACCTTTTGGGAAACCGCCAGGCTGTTGGCCCGGCGGCAGCATCGTCCCTCCCAGCAACGCACGAGGGTTCCAATTTCTGCACCTCCTCACCCACACTTGTGCTTTTCTATTAAATTTTAGCCATCCTCTTGGGCGTGGGGTGGTGTACAGCCTCTTTTGAATCATGGGTCTCCTTAGGGCAAGGGCTGAGGGCAAGAGAGAGGACCCCCCGCCCCACAGATTCATGAGGTCCAGATGTCTCCCCAGCAGGCCTGGCAGGAGTGGGGGCTGCGCTGGGGGCTGCCCTGCGCCTGGGGGGGACCGCCAGCAGGGGGTGCTCACAGCACGACGGCCGCTCCTCGTTCTCCCATGTGCCGCACACGTGTGTGCTCGGGTAATCCTCACTGCAGGCCTGGAGGAGGGAACTGTTGTCACCCACATTTCACAGGCGGGGAAACTAAGTCAGCCGCACGACTTGCCCAGAGTCAAGCAGCACCATCGGTGGAGGCTTCCCACCCACGAACAACTGAAAAAACCAACCATTACTGACACACAGGTGCCCACAGAGCAAAAGGGGAACACCAAGGCCCACTGTCGAGGGCAGACTTGCAGCTCCATCTGTGTGTTTTTACAACCATGTAAGAAGACACCGACTCATTTTAGGGCTTTTCGGTTTTGTCGTTTGTTTAGGTTTTCACAGAAATGGCTGCAAGTGCTTAACTTTTTTTTTTTTTAAAGATTTTATTTATCTATTCATGAGAGACAGAGAGAGAGAGAGAGAGAGAGAGGCAGAGGGAGAAGCAGGCTCCCAAGGAGCAGGGAGCCCGACGCGGGACTCGATCCCAGGACCCTGGGATCATGACCTGAGCCGAAGGCAGACGCTTAACCATCTGAGCCGCCCAGGTGCCCTGCAAGTGCTTAACTTAATGGATTAACTGCATGGGGGTGCTGCATGGGAGTGCAAGGAAGGCCTGCTGGCGGCTGGGGGCGGGTGTGGTCAGAGGAGTTGGTTAATGAACAGCTAGGAGATACCAGCCCCTATGCCCATCTTTGTGGGGTTGCCGTGACGACTAGCAAGGTCCCTGTGTCAAGTGCCCCAGTACGGGGCTCTCAGATGGTGCTCTTAATGAGATTGTTCAAGAGGGTAAAATGCTTTGCCCATGTGAGATGCTGTCATTAGAGGTGGGAAGCTCTGGCCTCAGGGAGACCCTTGAGAGCTGTTGCCCAGGCCCAGGTGGGGACATGAGGCCTGGACCAGGGCATCAGCCAAAGGAACAGGAGTGTTTGAGTTTTGATTTTGATCCAACTGGGATCTGTTCTCAAGTACGGTGTGAGGTAGGGATCCATTTTCACTTTCTTCCCAGATGAATAGCCAGTTTGGTCCACTGCCAGTTATTGGGGTGGGGGGGATCCTCCTAACCACCAAGGCTCACTCACCGTGGTCTGTCTTCTGTGTGCTGGTCCTCAGGCTGGTAGCTTACCAGCCAGATCCTAACCAATGGAGGCCCTTGTTGGAAAGCTTCTCTCCAGAGTGATCGATCCCAGCTGGAACCCTGGCCTCAGCCAGGTCACCCTCCAGGCAGCAGTGCAGGGCCCCAACCCTCCACTGCCCCCGAGTGCAGGTTGGGTTGGTTACTTTTGGGGGCATTTGGAAATACCCCTTCCCTTTCCAAGGTCCATGCCCTGTGCAGCACACGGCTGTTCTGCAGCAGGCTGCCCACTGATTTGGAGCTTATGTTTGGGACATAAACTGAATTACGAAAGATACAAATTCTAAAATGGGTCTGTCTCTGCACTCTCCTTTTGTTCCAGTGATCTTGTCACCATCCGAGCCCTACTACTCTGTTTCAATTCCTACTGCCTTCTGATTAGTTCTGATGGTTAGTAGAATCAGCGTTCTCTCCTTGTTCTTCTTTTACACATGTTCCTTGGCTTTTCTTGCATATTTTCACTTACAAATGAAGTTTGGAATGATCAACTTAGGTTAAAAATTACATTGGGATGGGGTGCCTCGGCTGGCTCAGTTGGTAGAGCATGTGACTCCTGATCTTGGGGTCGTTGAGTTTAAACCCCATGTGGGACATAGAGCTTACTTAAAAAAAGAATTCTATTGAGATGACATTGAATTTATAGAATACTTTGGGAATTTAGTGACTGTTAACATTATGAATGGGTACCACCTGATTTACAATAGAGGTGTGCCAGGCAATGGGTTATCCATATGGAAAAGTATGATCCTAGACCCTTGCCTCACACGATACACAAAAATTAATTCAAGATGGGTCATAGATCAAAATATGAAAGGTAAAACAGGAAAGGTTCTAAATAGCTTTATGACGTTGAAGTAGACAATATATTTTAAATAGAACACACATGTGAATCAATGAAAATATTGATAAATAGGGCTTTATTAAAATTTAGAATTTCTGTTCATCAAAAGACAAGAGAGTGAAGAGTCAAGCCACAGACTAAAAGAACATATTTAAATGCATAGGCCTGCTAAAGGACTCATATCCAGGATATATAAAGAGCTCCTACAAATCAGTAAGATAAAATCTAACAACCTCATTTTTAAAAGCAGGCAAAAGATTTTAACAGGCCCTTCATGAAAGAGGCTATCCAAATGACCAATCAACACCTGAAAGTTGCTCATGATCATTAGTAATTAGGGCAATCAATGAAATATACCTCTACACCTCCACCAGAGGTGGAGAAGTTGCTGTCAAAATGGAAAAGCCTGACAACACCAAGTCTAAATGGGGACGAAGACCAGAACTCTTCTACACTGTAGGAGGAAGTATAAATTGATACAACCATTTTGGGAAATTGCTTGGCAGGAACTGCTAAAGCAAAACATAGTCAAATCCTGTGAGCCCATAATTCCACTCATAGGTGTATACCTAGCAAAAATGTGTGCCGTGTGCACAAAAGACGTGTGCAAGGACGTTCCTAGCAGCTTGGTTCATAATAGTCCCAAACTGGAACTCACCCACATGTTTTTCAACAATAGAATGCACACATTGTTCTATATTCATACACTGGAGCACCACACAGGGATGAAAAAACAAACGTAACTTACAGACCAAAAGAAACCAGAAACAGAGAGCACTCTGTTTGATTCCATGTACCTGAAGTTCAAAAAGAGGGAAATTGATCTACGGGGCTAGTGGTCTGAATAGTGGTATCCTCAGAGAATACCCCAGGAGGGAGCCTGCAGGTGCTGGTGGTGGTCACTTCGAGCTGGGTCGCACGGAGCATTTATATGTGAAAGGCCATTGTCAGCTGACACATAGATCTGGGGACTTTGCCATAAGTCACACTGGAAGTATAAAAGAAAAATATAGATCAGGGAATACAAGTGGACTAGGGAAAGAAGGTTAGAGGAGAGGGGGATAGAAGCAAAGAAAAAAGAGAGAAGAGGGGCGCCTGGGTGGCTCAGTCGTTAAGCGTCTGCCTTCAGCTCAGGTCATGATCCCAGCGTCCTGGGATCGAGTCCTGCATCAGGCTCCTTGCTCAGCAGGGAGTCTGCTTCTCCCTCTGCCTGCCACTCTCTCTCTCTCTCTCTCTGACAAATAAGTAAAGTCTTAAGAAAAAGAAGAAGAAGAAGAAAGAGACAGGGCATACCCAGCAGCCTTTGGTCTTAAAGGCGTTCTTGGAGAAATGTCCTCGGATTGTGTGGCCCTAGAGGAAACCACTGCAAAACCCCAGACTTGTGGTTTTCACATCCAGAGACATGAGCGGAGGTAACATCCCTCAGTCTCTGCCTTGGGGATCAACATATAATTGAGGTGAGGGCCTGACCGGGCCCCCAAGCCGGAGAGCCCCAGTCCTGGCCCGAGCAGCTCAGGCTGGGGGTGGGGGCAGACGCCTGAGCCGAGTCCTGGTGCCATCTCCTGTTCCCCGTTGTGTGACTTGAGCCTCTGTGATCCTCAGTAAAGCCCTGTTTCAATGTGCCGCCGATGAGCACTGGTCGGGGAGCCCCTCCGCGGGCATGAACCACCTCCCTGCTTTTCCTGCAGCCGGGCGCTCTGCCAGCAGGAGCTCACGTGCAGCCTGTGTGGGTCCTCGGTAGATCTTCGTTCATTGGGCCTTGTGGATGATCTGGAAACGTCTGTTTCTGGAAAAGCACCCAAGGTCGTTTTCGCTCAAGGAGCAGGAAATGGCCTGGAGGAGGTCAGGGTAGATCAAGGGCAATATGCTCTCGTGGCTGTGACCCTGTGACCGAATGTGTACATGTGTGTGTGTGTACACGTGTTTTCGTAAGAATTGTATATTTATCGCAGTGGTGGAGGAGTGTTGGGCATGACTTAACAGTCCTCATGGGAGCTTTGTGGAATTGATCCACTCTGCACACATTTCTCGAGCTCCTCGTCTGTCACACCTGGAGTTCTGGGGCTTGAGCAGCACCGTCCGGTAGAAAGCGAGCCTCATGCAATTCCACATCTTGTAGTAGCCATGTTAAGAGAGTAAAAAGAAATGGAGGAAATCACCTTTAATATTTTTATCTCAATGTACCCAAGATGTAATCCGTGTAAAAATGTGAGGTGTCTGGCATTATTTATACTAAGTCTTTGAAATCCACTGTGCAGTTTATACCTACAGCACATCTCGGACTGGCCCCGTTTCAAGCACTCGGTAGCCACATGGGCTGATGGCTACCGTGTGGGACGGCGCGGACCTGGACCCCTTACGTGGTCATAAGACAGGGTGGCCCGGGCTCTGATGGAGGCCAGTGGGGCTGTGGGGACATCAAGGCGTCCTCATTCTGCACAGTGGCTTAAGCAGGTTACTTTCTCACGGAAATGGTCTGTTTGGCAGAGTCCGGAACCCAGGCTGGCTGGGCAGCGCTGCAGGGCGGCCTGCGGATCGGGGAAGGGAGTTTGGGATGAGGGGCCACGCCTAGTCCTAGAATCTAGGTCCAGAAGCCGCCCAGGTCACTTCCCTGCATTTAGCCGCACAACCACACCAGGGTGTAAAGGGATCTGGGAAATGTCTGGCTGGGCAGCCATGAGCCCAGCAAGAGGGAGAACAGATTTAGGGGGAAAAAGCCTCTGGCCCGCGGGGGTGAGAGGCCTCTGTGGAGGCGATGTGGTTGGGTCCTGGACTTGGTCCCGGGGTAGGTGGCCACGGTGGCCCCGAGAGAGAGGCCCGCTGCCCTGTGGACAGAATGCACTGTGGTCTTGTCTCTGCAGCCGGAGTACAGCATGGATTTCATCAGCAGGGAGCTCTTTGTGCACTCCGCCAAAAAGCTGCAGGCCCACGTCCTGCTCCTCAAGTAAGTGTGAGCCTCGCGCCCCAGAAGAGACTCGACTGCCGGGGACCCCCAGGTGTCCCTCGCGTGAGGCCGGGCTGCCCCGGCCCCTGGGGTGTGGAAGGCAGGGCCCGGAGCAGACGGAGCCGCCCCTCTCAACGGGGGTCTGCGGAGGGCACCCCCGGGCGAGGCAGGGACTGGCCGACCTTGCAGCCGGGCGCTTGCCCTGCCAAGTCCTCCAGCCACTCCAGACACCCGCGCCCCCCAGAGCTTCGCCGCTCCCTCCCCCGCCTGCCAGCGCCCAGCCAGCAGCCGTCCCAGTGCCACCTCCCGTCGTGGGGCTCAAGCTGCCACTCTCCGCGCCGCCGTGGCCTGCCCCAGGCCGGAACCGTGACTTCTGGGGACACGTGTGGCTCTGATGCTGAGCACAGAGGCTTAGGAAGCACGGACTCAAGGTGCAAATCCAAACCACAGAGACGCTGCACCGCCCCCCCTCCGTGCCCCCGGATGGCTGGACCCGAAATGGCAGATAACAGGCGTTGGTGAGCGTGAGGAGAAATGCTCCCACCGTGTGACTGTAAAATGGCGCAGCCACTTGGAACAGCCCGGCAGTTTCTGAAGCCCTTGACCTACCCCAGGACCCAGCAGCCGCCCTCCCAGGTCTCTAGAGGCCCGACCTAGGTCCCCACAGCAGCCTGGACGGGACGGTCCAGAGCAGCGTCAGTCCCAACAGCCCAGGGGCGGAGACCACCCGACGTCGGTCAGCAGACACACAGGCGGGCCGTTTGAGCCGGGAGAGGAACGACCTGGCACCTGCTGCGGGGACGAACCTTGAGGACAGGACAGAGTGGAAGAAACCAGTCACGGAAGTCCACGTGTTCTGTGGCTCCACTCACACGCAGGTGCAGAGCGCAGTCTCTGGAGCTAGTGTTTGCGGAAGCCCGAGCGCTGCATAACTAGTGGTTCGGGTTCGGGGGATTTTGGAGACGATGACGTCCTCAAATTGACCGCAGTCACGCTGCAGAACTCTACGTACACGTGTGAAATGGGTGCAATCATCTCGGGAAAGATGCGGGCACAGAAGGCACGGACTCAACCCCATCAGAGGCGGTGGCGGCGGGCAGGTCCCACGACCCCGCCGAGGTGAACCTGCAGCACCTTGGCCACAGTGAGCCCCGAACTGTGGGAAAACCGGAGGCAAGCCCAGGCTGGTCTCCTCTCAGCCTGGAAACCGGGGCAGGGGGGAGGCACCGCAAGGTGAACCCTGATTTTTCTTTTATTTTCCAGAGCAATCCAAGGATATTATAATGTGAGGAGAGAGAACGACAGTGACAGGAACGTCATACTTTTTGTGATGGACACGCTGAAATCAGTGCTAAAGGAGGTAGGTGCACTAGGCTCAGCCAGGGTGAAGTCCAGGAGGGTCCTCACCCACTCCTTGCACTAGGGCCTCTGGTCCAGCCCCAGGCCTGATGGGTGACTGGCAGGAGCAACCCGGCCTCACTCCCTATGGCGGTCAGCCCCTGGCACTCACATTTAACTCAGCACAGGAAACACGTTTTCTTGGCAGAGTGCCCCAGTGTTATTGTCCACATACATCCTGCAGCCCAGGTCCAACTTGGCCGGAGGCCATCCCATCATTTCTAGGGTGAGCAGATGACCAGTCTCATCAGTGGGGCTGGGCTTTGTCCCTGGGAGCACCTGGCACTTTGACCATCATCTGCTGTAAACACCTGACCCTGGGCCTCTGCAGACCTCGGCGTCACCACCAAAGGCGAGCCTGTACGTGACCAGTCTGCGGTGCCTTCCTGTCTCCCAGGGAGGATCAGGTTTGAAAGGCTGCTGGTTCTTTCAAGCTAACCTTACACCCTGGACTACCGGCACCTCCCATGCCTAGCTTTACAACCTCAACTCAGAATGGCCCAGAAGGCCAGGGTTTGCACATTTCTCCCCCTGAATCAGGCCCTTCTCGCGGACTCTGAGCCAGGCTCTTAGCCAGTGTGTGACCGGGGAGCTGGGGGTCAGTCTGCCCGGTGGTTCACTGTGGGGCACCCTTTGGGACCACCGGAGGCAGCAAGCCCTGGGAAGGCCCCAGCACGCCAGAAGGGCCACGCCTCACCACGCATCCCCTCCCCTCTCCAGCGGTTCCAGTACGTAGAAGTCCCGGACAACCATTACGTCCACCTGAACCAACCCCAGAACGTGGCCGGTTTCATCAGCGCCTTCCTGCTGAGCAAGGAGACAGCACCACATGAGCTGTAGCCTGGGCCTGGGCCTTCGGAGACCTGGTACCCACCACTCGGCACCCGGATCCCTAGTGCCAGGCCCCCCAGCCAGGCCGGGTGTGGTGGGGACAGGCCTCATTGGTCTGAAGCCCAGCAGGTGCTGAGACAGAGAATCCTGGGCAGAATTGGGGGGGGGGGGGGCGCAGGGCAAGACTCTTTTTAACATTTGTGACTTCAAGGGGGAGACCGTGTTTGGATTTGGGGGCATTGTCTGTTTCGTGGCTGATAATCTGCAGAGAGTGGGTAGCAGATGGAGGGAGGAGAGGCCAGGTGACTGCCCAGCTGGATGAAAAATAAAATGGTTCTTGTATTCTCACTGCTTCTGAGGGGCTCTTCCACTGACGGGAGGGGAGAGACACTCAGCTGGAAAGGGAAGGCCAGGGGCAGGCTAGGAACAGAGAGACCAGGAGGAGGAAACAAGCACGGCCTGGGCTGGTGGCTCCTGGCGGCCCACGCCCTCACACTGGGCAGGCCTCGCCAGCACGGTGCCCAACCCTGCTGCACCCCGGACCCACGGAGGGCCCTGTCCTTCCACCTGCACCCCCGTGGCCTCAGATCTGGCAGCCCCCGGGCCTGGGCCGCCCAGGACGAGTGTTCCAGGTCTTCAGGTCCTCACCGGCAGTGGACCGCCACCGTTCACCGCCCCCTTCCAGGGGTCCCCAGGACCAGCTCGGCTCAGTAGGGTCGGAACTTGCGCTGCGCCCGCATCAGTTCAATCCGCTGCTTGTCTTCCTCAAACTTCTTGCGCAGCTGGGCTAGATCTGGGGGGCAAGGGGAAAGAGGAAATGGCCACGTTAGTCTGTGTACCCTGTGGGGACTGTGGCCCCCCCGCCCCACTGGCCTCCGCTGATATGGTCCGGACGCTGCGCGGAGACAGATGCGCCTGCAGGCCCAGAGGGTGGGCGCTCAGGCCAGGGCGGCACGCCTGAGCTCGGAGAGAAAACTCCGCAGAAGAGTGAGCACAGAGAAAGCAAGACGCCTGTTCCCTTACCACCCCCACCCCACATACCCCAGGTGAAGGCAGGCGGCTCGGGGGGTGTGGGGAGCCCCCCCAGGGGCAGCTCTCCCGGCCCCTCCCCACTGCAGCAGCCAGACTGGGGAGAACGTCAGGAAGGAGAGGGACTCCGCCCTCAGTGCCACAGAATTTGGATGGCAGCCCTGGTCACCAGGTGACCAGGTCAGAGGAATACGGAGGGGTGGGAGCCCGGCCGGAGAGCTCATGCAGCCTGCTGTCGGTGATTCTAGAAAGAGCAGGAGCGAAGGTGCCCGGGTGGGGAGCAGCAGTGAGACAGGCAGGAGGGTGACATGCCTGGGTGTTAGGTCACCACCTGCTGCAGAGGCTGTCCCCCTGCCAAGGACAAGGCCAGCACCCTCTACTCCCAGGCCCATGGGGAAGCCACCCGACAAACAGGGAATATGGGCTGTCAGCATCATCATGACCTTGAGTGGGTCACGGGCGATGGGGTGCTCGCCCCGACACTGTCCATGCGAGGGGCCTGCCCCACTCCCCCCACACTCACTCCCCCCGACACACACACACACCCAGCAGCGGCCCTCTCGCTGTCCCCACAGTGAGCACCTGAGATCCACCCTCTGCAATCTGGCCCCCGTGGGAGGATGACAGGTTCTAGCACCAAGTGCTCAGGGGTCTGGAGGTGGTCCTACATCCCAGGTGTGTCTGAAGCCTCTAAACAACCCAGGGGCCCCCACTGCTGCCACTGGGGAGCACCAGGGGGACCACCACAGGGGATGCTGCAGGCTGGGACCTTAAGTCCAGAGCCTGTGGGAAGTCTGTGCCCAGGGACAGCCCCCTCCACACCCAGGCCCCAGTGCCACCCGCGGGAGCCCTCCGCTCTGGCCGGGGCCGGCAGCAGTGGCCACGGGCCTCGTCCACAGGGCCTGGGCCCCAAGGGGAGTGGGGCTGAAGCACACGGGTTTGGGGCGCTCCCTTACGCTCCATCTTGGTCTCTCGGTGCTGCCAGGCGTAAAAGTTGAGCAGCTCCTTGCGGGCGCGCTTCCGTCTCTCCCTCTCCAGCACCCGCAGGCTAGCAGCCTCTGTCCGCGGCAGCACGGGCCGCCGGCCCCGACGGGTCACCTTCACCCAGCCCTCCTCGTCCGGAACCCCTTCCTCCTCCTTGGCCTTAGCCTCCTCCTGCAAGGAGCAGACGCTGTGATGGGCAGACCCCGGGACCCCCTGCAGCCTCGGGTGCCCCTCCCCCACCCTCCCTTGGAGGCTCTCCCTGCAGCACCCAGAACCTCCCCGGGCACCCACCGTCACCTGCTGCGCCCTCTCCCTCCCAGTAGCTCAGTATGGGGGGCGGGGGGCACAGAGGTGCCAACACTGCCTCCTCGTCCCTCAGCCTGTTTCCTACAGACCAGAGACTAGACGTCACCCAGCTAGGTGACACAGGACTCAGTGGGGAAAGAGGGAGCCTGAACTCTACACAGTGACCAGCACAGGGTGCCACCGCCCATCCCCCTCCGCAGCGACACCACAACACCCGTGGCCCACGTTCCCTGTGGAAGCCCCACCTCGGCTATCCTCTTGTCATATGCCTCCATGAACGTGTCCACTTCGACCCTCAAGGCCTCAGGATCTGGCACTGAGTCTGTGTAGTCGCTGATCCACTCTGAGGGAGAAAGGAGGGAGGAAAACGGGGCTTCCTCAGGCCCGATACTCGAGGCCCCACCTGCCCAGCCAGTCAGGATCTTCTTCTTTTTTAAGATTATTTGAGAGAGGGAACACAAGCAGGGGGAGTGGGAGAGGGAGAAGCAGGCTCCCCGCTGAGCAAGGAGCCCGACGCGGGGCTCGATCCCAGGACCCCGGGATCATGACCTGAGCCGAAGGCAGACGCTTAACTGCCTGAGCCACCCAGGCGCCCCCAGTCAGGATCTTCTCATACAGGCCACGAGGACGGAGACCTGTGGCCCAAGGAAGGTTCTAGTGGCAGCAGGCTGGGCCCTCCCCTCCGCCCACCCTGGGCCCAGGAAGGAGGGCGTGATGATGCCGTGGTACTGACTGTGAATGCCACTCTTCACAGGGTGACTCTCCGTTGAGACCAGCAAAGGGCCCTTCAGGACTAAGGCAGCAGACACCCCACCTGGCTTCTGGAACACCACATAGGCTACCTGGAAGCCCTGGAGGGGGGGAGGAGAGATGTCAGAATGCCAGCACCCCCCCATCCTCCCGGCCACCCGGCTCCTGGCACCAGGGCTCCCAGCCGCCCTCAGCCCGACTCGTCGCTGGGCCAGGGGACATGTGCTGGACTGTTCTGAACCCCCTTGGTGAAGATGACCAAGAAGTTCTCTATAATCCTGGGGTCGGGGTGGGGGCGGGGGACACACAGCCATGCTGCTAGCTTTCCAACTTCTGCCAGAGGCGACCCAGGTGAGGTGAGACACTCGGGACCTCCCTTCCAGGTACAGGTGGGACGCAGCGACAAGCGAGCTCCCACACACCGGGAGCGGACAGAGCGCATGCTAGCTCAGACTGCGCTACGCCAGGAGGGCATGTGGGCTCGGGACGGGGAGACGAGACCAGGCCATGGGGCCTCAGGAAGAAGGGACTTCGGGGGGGGAGCAGGAGGGGAGCTCAGGGAGGCCCTTCAGGGCGGCGAGCAAGATGGTCTCTGGGCTCTCAGCAGGACGATGGAAGAGCTGGACGAGAAGCTAAAGGATGTGGCAAATCCAGGGAAAGGCGCAGAGGTGCTGGGGATACTGCCCTGGCCACACCCCGCGGCGCCCCCAGGTGAGCAGACCACAGCACTTGGACACTTACCGGAATGGGCGTGGGGTGAAAAAACTTTGACTTTGGCTCCTTTGGGCTGTCAGCGAGTTCTGGCTTCTCCTGTAACCCCACAGACTGGATGGGGCCGCAGGGGGAGAAGAGGCGGGACAGGCACTCCTGCCGCAGACCCGGCGGGGGAAGCACAGCATGAGGGGCTGCGGGGGCCTCAGGGAGCCTCCCTCTGCCCAGGGTGGCACAGCCAGGGGACCAGGGCTCCCAAAGGTCTCGGAGCCCATGTCTGCCCAACTGAGGGGCATGTACACAGGCCCTGAGCCAGCCACACCCTCCTCCGCACGGTCATCGTCCTGCCCTCCCACGGCCCGAGCCGACAACCCTGTGCATTTTCACGTTCAAAACTGAGTAAAAAAAACCACACCGCCACTGGCCATGAGACGTGGGAGGGAGCAGACGCAGCGTGAGACAGAATTCAGGTATAAACTTTTTGGCTTTATGACAGGACCTGCAGGGAGCATGTGCCCGGGATGTTTGGTTTGTCCCTGAAAGGGATTTCTCACTTTGAAAGGCCAGCCGTCTTTCCCTGCCCCTTTCTCTGGCTGAACGATCCCCAAAGGAGGATTAGGCTCTATTACGAGAATAGGCGGGAATGTTTCTGGGGTTATTCGGAGTATTCTGATTTTATGAGACAACCAACTAAGTTTTCCTCCCTGAGCAGCCACTGAAAACTGGAGTTAACTCTGTGTTGTTGGGACTCAGGCTGGCGGTGAGCCCCTTGAGGGGATTTCTTGGGCGCAAGTCATGTTCTGTTTCTGGGCGCTGAGTACGTGGGTGTGTTCAGTTTGTGAAAGGCGGCAAGTTGTAGCCTAGGGCCCGGGCCCTTCTCTGTACACACGCTACGCTTCAGGAAACGTTAAGACATGACACAGCCTCTCCTCTGCTTCGTTCTCTGACTGTACAAGAATCTTTATTTTTTCAGATTATTTATTTATTTATTTGACAGAGAAAGACATAGCGAGAGAGGAAACGCAAGCAGGGGGAGTGGCAGAGGGAGAAGCACGCTTCCCAATCAGGGAGCCCGATGCGGGGCTTGATCCCAGGACCCTGGGATCATGACCTGAGCCGAAGGCAGACGCTTAACTACTGAGCCACCCAGGCGCCCCTGTCCAAGAATCTTTTAGAAATTAGTATTTCTCTCGAGGATTCTCTCTCTCCCTCTGCCTCGCCCCCCGCCACTTGCTCTCCGTACAATAAATAAATCTTTAGAAGTTAATATTTCTTTCTTGAAAAACAATCTAAAATCCAGCAACACCCTTAGTTTCTCTTCTGTGAACTTACGTAATGCAAAACTTAATCGTTTTCGTGAAAATAAGTTAATGTCTGGATAGATTTAGAGAATAATCTTATCTTCTATTTTTTCGTATGGAGATGTATCACTGTTACAATCAGCGAAAAACAACATGTAATTCAAAGAATCCTGGGAAATAATAAAAAGCTTTGAGCTTCTTAGAACTATACTTTTTATTTTTTTATTTTTTAAAGATTTTATTTATTTGACAGAAAGAGAGCGTGTGAGCACAAGCAGGGGGAGCGGCAGGCAGAGGGAGAAGCAGGCTCCCCACTGAGCAGGGAACTCGACGCGGGGCCCGATCCCAGGATCCTGAGATCATGACCTGAAGCCAAAGGCAGATGCTTTTGGGGCACCCAGGGGCCCCAGACTGTACTTTTTAAACCACAGCTTTAAAAAGACATTTCCAGGTGCCTGGGTGGCTTAATCGGTTAAGTGTCTGATGCTTGGTTTCAGCTCAGGTCGTGATCTCAGAGTCTGGGATCAAACCCTGCACCAGGCTCTACACTGGGCATGGAGGCTGCTTGAGATTCTCCCTCTCCCTCTGCCCCCCACCTTGCACGTGCTCATGCTCTTTCTCTCTAAAATAAATCTTTAAAAAGACATTTCCGGGCACCCTGGCTGGTTCAGTCGATAAAGCATGTGACTCTTGATCTTGGGGTCCTGAGGTGGAGCCCCATGTTGGGTGTAGAGATTACTTAAAAAAAAAAAAAATTAAAAAGCCATTTCCTGGGGCGCCTGGGTGGCTCAGTCATTAAGCGTCTGCCTTTGGCTCAGGTCATGATCCCAGGGTCCTGGGATCGAGCCCCGCAGTGGGCTCCCTGCTCCACGGGAAGCCTGCTTCTCCCTCCCCCACTCCCCCTGCTTGTGTTCCCTCTCTCGCTGTGTCTCTCTCTATCTGATAAATAAAATCTTTTAAAAAAAATAAATAAAAAGCCATTTCCTGTCACAAGAGACAGAAGCAGCAGCCCTCTAGCTGCCCTCCCTTGGGGCTTCAGTTAGATGCTTCCATCTCCCAATAAGGACCTGGTGGAGGCCAGTGGGAACCCAACCCTGCCTGGAGCTCCTGGCCAGCCTTAGAGGTTCCCTCCCAGACACCAGCTCACCTCTGTGCAGTATGGGGGCACATTGAGAACAAAGAGGGTCCGCTTCTGAGGCCAGGAAGACTTGGTGCCTTCTCGAACTCTGTGCTCTCTCACATAGAGGTAGTGAAAAGCCTGCTGCTTTTCTGAGAACTTGATCGGGATGGCTGGACGGGAAATGGGGGCAGGGAAGGATGGCATGAAAATCAAGCTCAGGCTGTCCCTTTCTAGTCCCATCTGTCTGTCCATTCCATCACTGAGCCCTTCCCCTAGGCCAGGCCTGTGCAGGGTACTGTGCAGGCTGTGAGAGTGAATGAACAGAGAACCTGCCCAGGAGGGGCACCCAAACAGGTGGGGGAGAGAACAGGCAATTATTACAGGTGGGGAGCAAAATGAGAGGGGAGTCCAAACCCTGATGCTCCTGGGGTCAACACCAAAATCCTGACGTCAGCTGGAGGCCTTGCCAGACCCTGACCACCTTTCACATCTTTTTGCCAAGCCCTCCCCCCACCACTGTGCAGGGCCTGCCACTCTGCCTTCTCTCTATCCCTCCAGTAAGCCCAGGCCTCACCCAAGCTCACACGTTTCCTTACCTGAAACGTCAACCTTCTACCCTCCACCCATTCTTCACGTTTAACTTTACTTCCTCAGAGAGCCTTACGTGCTGAGTTAGATCCACCTGCTCTGTGCCTTGACAACCTCTCCCGGTCTCTAAGTCTCTATCTGTGTGATCATTTGATAATGGCTCACATTCCCATAATGCTAGGGGCTGTTTTCTGTTTTTCTACGGCCTTCTTCAGAGCCCACTGGGGATATACAGCTGCAGCATCTGTGCTCGGGACGCTCACATGAGAGTAGGAGAAGGCAATGAACAAAGAAGCACGTAACAAGATCCTATCAAACAGGAAAGCAAGGGGAAAACAGTGCAGAGTGGTTGCGCGGCAGAAGCCTTTGGCTAGGCGTCGGAACGGCCTCTTTGAGAAACTAACATTAAAGTCACAGGGCACAGCTGTGTGAAAAGGGCACCTCAAGCGCAAAAACCCTGAGGGTGTAAAGAGATTGTTGCTCCAGAGGAACAGAAAGAGCTCTAGGTCGGCTGAGCCAGAACATGCAGGGCCACACAAGTCAGTAAGTTCGGGTTTTGTTTTAGGTGCTAACTTGCAAAACCACTGGAGGGAGTTCAGTGGGTATGGGGGTATATAGGCAGGCGCGTGAGGCAAAATCTGATCTAAATCTGACTTTAGAACGCACATTCCGGCACGTGGGCGAACAGAAGGCAAGGGCAAGCACAAAATCAGGAGAACCAGGTAGGAGGGCACAGCCGGGTGACGGCTGATAGGGGCCAGACTAGGAGTGGCAGAGGTGATAAGAAGCGGTGGGCTCACTCGTCCGGGGGGAGAGTGTGGATCGACAGGGGTTTACCCAAGGGAAGCGGTGGCCAAAATGGGCTCGCCCCGGGAGAGTGCCGCCAGACGCGAGCAGGGCGCAGCGTCCGGGACCTCGGGGCTACCGGGCCCCCCACCCAGCCGCGCGGGGGTCCGGAGCCACCTCCCGGGGAAGCCGGGCCGCCGCGACTCACCGGAGTAACCGGGAGGGCTCGGAACCCCCTGCTCTGAGTCCCGCGCCCCACGCTTCCTCCTGCGCGCCACCATCTTGCCAACCGGAAGCTGCGGAGGCCGCTGGGAGTTGCAGTTCGGCGCTGGGAGCGTGCGCGTTTCCATGACTACGGCGGCGCGCGGGGCCCACCTTCTGGCTCCGGTCGCTTCCAGGCGCCACCTTTGTCTGCTCGGAACGACGAGCACGTAAATGTGTGAGTAAATGTTGGCGTGGCGGGAACGCAACCTTCCATTCTTCCATTCCACAAATAGCAGTGAAGACCTCACTGAAGTTGGCCGTTTTAACCACTTTTTTTTTTTTTTTTTAAGATTTTATTTATTTGACAGAGAGAGACACAGCGAGAGAGGGAACACAAGCAGGGGGAGCGGGAGAGGGCGAAGCAGGTTCCCCGCCGAGCAGGGAGCCCGATGCGGGACTCGATCCCGGGACTCCGGGATCATGACCTGAGCCGAAGGCAGTCGCTCAACCAACTGAGCCACCCAGGCGCCCCTTAACCACTTTAAAGTGTACAATTCAGGGGCATTGAGTATATTCTCATTATTGTGCAACCGCCCTCCGGAATGTTTCATCCTCCCAAATTGAAACTCTGTACCTGTTCCCTCCTTCCCCCAGCCCCTGGTAACCACCATTTTACTTTGTTTCTATGAATTTGACTACTCTAGATACTTCATATAAATGGAATCATACAATATGTGTCCCTTTGTGTCTGGCTTATTCCATTTAGCATGTTTTCATGGTTAATCCACGTAATAGCAGGTCTCGGAATTTCCTTCCTTTTCAAGGCTGAATAATATTTCATTGTAGGTATAGATCACATTTTGCTCATCCATATATGCCTGTGGACATTTGGGTTGTTTCTACTTTTGGCTATTGTGAATAATGTTGCTATGAATATTCTATGCTTTTGTGCAGACATGTTTTAATCTTTCTTGGATACGTATCTAGGAGAATTTCTTGATCATTACAGTAACTCTATGTTTTCTTTTTTGAGGACCTGCCAGACTGTTTTCCAAAGTGGCTGCATCATTTTAAAGTCCCACCAGCAAAGTATGAGGTTTTCAAATTCTCCACATCCTCACCATTATTTATGTCCTTTTTTTGGGTATAGCCATCCTAATTATTGTAGAGTGGTATCTCATTAGGTTTTGATTTACATTTCCCTGATCATGAGTGATGTAGAGCATCTTTTCATGTGTTCATTGGCCATTTGTGTGGGGTTTTTGTTGAGAAATGTCTACTCAGAGTCTGCACATTTTTTACTGGGTTATTTGTACTTTTATTGTTGCATTGTAAGAGTTCATCTTTCCTGGGTGCAATTCCCTCATCAAATACGTGACTTGCAAATATTTTCTCCTGTGGGTTGTCCTTTCACTTTTTTTTTTTTTTTTTTAAGATTTTATTTATTTATTTGAGACAGAGAGAATGAGAGACAGAGAGCATGAGAGGGAGGAGGGTCAGAGGGAGAAGCAGACTCCCTGCCGAGCAGGGAGCCCAATGCAGGACTCCATCCCGGGACTCCAGGATCATGACCTGAGCCGAAGGCCGGCCGTCGCTTAACCAACTGAGCCACCCAGGCGCCCGTCCTTTCCCTTTCTTAAAGGTACAAAAGTTTTTAAATTTTTGATGAAGTTAAATTTATTTTTTGAGGGTATCCAGTTGTCTGCACCATTTGTTAAAGACTATTCTTTCCCCCCGCTGAATTAATTGTCTTGGCACCTTTGCTGAAAATTAATGGACCAGATACATGAGGCTTTAATTTTGGACTCTCCATTCTATTCCATTGGTCTGTATGTCTATCCTTATGCTAGTACCACACTGTCTTGATTACTGTAGCATTTTACTTAAGTTTTGAAATCTGGAAGTGTGAGTTCTTCAACTCTTCTTTTTCAAGACGGTTTTGGCTACTCAGGATCCCTTTAAATTCTTTCAACAATGTTTTGTAGTTTTCAGGATGTAAGTTTTATACTTATTTTAAGTACACTTATTTAAGTATTACATTTATCCTATTTTATTGATTCTCTGCTGAGTGGAATTGTTTTCTAATATGAGTTTTAGATTACTCACTTTATCAATTGACCTTGCATTCTGCAACCTTGCTGTTTATTAATTCTAGTAGTCTCAGTGGCTTCCTTAGCATTTTCTGTATAAAGACCCTGTCATCTACAAATAGAGATAATTTTACTTTTTTCTTTCCAATCTGCATGCTTTTCTCTGCAACTCCCTGACTCCTCCCCTACCCCAATCCCCCTGGCTAGAGCCTCCAATATTAAACAGAAGTGGTAAAAGCAGACATCCTTGTCTTGTCTCCAATCATAGAGGGAAAGCTTTCAATATTTAACCCCGGGATTACTGATTTCACTGTGACCAAAGAACACACTGTATGAACTTAATTCTTTTACACTTGTTGAGATTTGTTTTATGGGCCAGGACATGGTCTATCTTGGTCTATGTCCCATGGTATTTGAAAAGAATGTTTTCTGTTGTTGGGTGGAATATTCTTTGTTGATTGGATCCTGTTGGTTGGTGGTGTTAAGTTCTTCTACATCCCTGACTTTGTCTAGTTCTACCTATTGTTGTTGCAAGGGGTGTTGAAGTCTTTAAGTGTAAGTGTGGATTTGCTATTCCAATTCTATCAGGTTTTGCATCACATGATTTGCAGCTCAGTTACCTGGTAAATATGTATTTAGGATTATACTTCTTGGTAGATCAACCCTTTTTTTCATTATATAATGTTCCTCTATCTCTGGTAACTTTCTTTGCTCTGAAGTCTAATAGATCTGATACTAACACAGCTACTTTTTGGGGATTGTTGGCATGATATATATTTTTCAATCCTTTTGCTTTCAACCTTATATTGTCATATTTGATGTGTCTCTTGCAGATAGCATATAAATTAGGGCATGTTCTTTCACTCACTTTGCCAATCTCTGTCTTTCAATGGAGATATATACCATTTACATTTGATATAGTGATCTTAGTGATATAATCTCACATTTTGTCTTTTTTTTCTTGCCTTCCTGTGGCTAACTTGAACATTTTTTTTTAGAAATTCATTTTTATCTATCTGTAGTGTTTCTGGTTGTATTATCTTTTTTAGTGATTACCCTAGGGATCTCATCATATATACTTAAGTTACTACCACATATTATTGTTGACATTTTACCAGTTTGGGCGAAATGTAGAAAACTTCCCTCTATTTCCCTTTGCCCTCCCCTATTTATAAAGTAATCGCTTTAAATATTTCCTCTATGTACATCGAGAACCGCATCAATGTTATGATTTTGGTTTCAACTTAACAATTTAGAAAACTCAAGAGAAGAAAAGTATTTTATTTACCTATAGTTTTACTATTTCTTTTGCTCTACCTTCCTTTCTGATACACAAAGTTTCCTTCTTTTATTTTTTCAAGTTGAGAGAGCTTTTTTAGCCATTATTTTAGGGTAGGTCTGCAGGCAACAAATTCCCCTAGTTTTCCTTTATCTTAGAACGTCTGAATTACCCCTGAACCTTGAAAGATATTTTTTTGCTGGATGTAGAATTCTCGGTTGACCCAACTTTGTTAAGTGTGCCACTTTCTTCTGGCCTCATGGTTTCTGTTGAGGGACCTGTCACATTGTTTTTCCCTTATAGGTATCATTTTCTTTTGCTTTTAAAATTTTTGTCTAGTTTTCAGAAGTTTGGCTGTGAAGTGTCTTGGTGTTAATTTCTTTGGATTTGTTTGGGATTCTTAGAGCTTCTTGAATCTACAGGTTTAGATGGCTATTACTTCAACTACTTCAGCCCCAATTTTTCTTCCCTCCTTCTGGTACTCTTGATTTTTTAGATTTTAGATTTTTTTGTCATAGGTCCCTGAAGTCTTTAAGTATTTCTTGATTTGTTAATTTCTATTGTTTTACCTTCCAAGTTCAAGGATTCTTTCTCTACTACTTCTTTGGTAATTGTATTTTTCAGCTCTAAATGATCCTTCTATTTTATTTGCTGAGACTTCGTATTTTTTTTCACTTGTTTCAAGTGTGTTCATTGTTTGTTGACACTTTTATGATGACTGCTTTTAAATCCTTGCCTGATAATTCTAACATCTCTCATCTCAGTGTTGTCTCCTCACCCCGTTTTCTATTTTCCTTGTCTTTTCAGTCCATTTTTGACCGAAACATGGACATTTGGGGTTGTTATAAAGACTGCATCTTGGGGCGCCTGGGTGGCTCAGTCGTTAGGTGCCTGCCTTCGGCTTGGGTCATGATCCCAGGGTCCTGGGATCGAGCCCCATGTCGGGCTCCCTGCTCTGCAGGAAGCCTGCCTCTCCCTCTCCCACTCCCCCTGCTTGTGTTCCCTCTCTCACTGTCAGGTGAATAAATAAAATCTTAAAAAAAAAAAAAAAAAAAGACTGCATCTTATTTAGATTTTCTGTTACAGCACACCTCCTCTGATGGGGCTGGAAAGGCACCACTTAATTACTGCCAGGTGTGGTTGGAGTTCAGGGTCCTTGCTTGATGTCTGCTGACACCCAGGGTGGGAGTGCCTCCTAGTTACTGCCTTGTGGGGGTGAGTTCCATCATCCCATTACACTTCTACTTAGAACACCCTGCTTGGAAGGGGCTAAGGTGCCTCATTTCTCCTCCTATAGTCTCCACAGACACCAATTTAAAGTTCCAGCTCCCTGCTTGGCCTTCTCGGACACCACCCCAACAGGAATTTTGGGGTGCCCCCAATACAGCCTAGTGAGGATGGAAACCTAATCTCCCAACTTGGCTTATGTTGAAGTCAGGGTAGTTTCCTCTGTGGTTTGGCTGTAGTCTTGCTAAGCTCTTCTTTTTCTGGCCCTTATTTGGGGTTTTGTCTGCCTTTTCAGCATCCAGTTTGAGATGTGAAGCAAAAAGAAAACTCAGGGAGCTCAGTGCCAGTAATTCCTTGGGTCCCAGGGTCCCAAGGTCCCCAGCCAGTCTGCCTTCTCTCCACCTTCCAGGCTTATGTTTGTTTTATATAAAATCCCCAGAATTCGATTTAGTGGAAAGGATAGGGATTAAGTACTTCCATTCTACCTTCCCAGAAGAGGAGCTGTTCCAGTTATACCTTAATAAACCAATATGAAAATATAAAAATGGTATAGCCGCTGTGGAAACTGGAAAAGCAATTCCTCAAATTACTAACAGAATTACCATAGGATTTAGCAATTCCACTTCTGGGTATGGACCCCCAAAAATTGAAAGCATGGTCTTTTTTCTTTTTGAGAGAGATAGGTAGAGGTAGAGGTGGGGGGAGGGCGGAGAGAGTCTTAAACAGGCTCCATGCCCTGCGCGGAGCTTGACCTGGGGCTTGATCTCAAAACCCTGAGAGCACGACCTCAGCTAAAATCAAGAGTTGGACACTTAACCGACTGAGCCACCCAGGTGCCCCTGAAAGCAGGGTCTTAAAAGAGAGATCTGTACACCTGTGTTCACATCAGCATTATTCACAATAGCTAAAACATGGAAACAATCCAATTGTCCACAGATGAATAAGCAAAATGTGGTATACACACACATACAAAGTAGTATTCAACTTTAAAGAAGAAAATTCTGATATAGGCTACATGGAAGAAGCCTGAGGACATGATGCTGAATGAAATAAGCCAGTCCATGACAGATAAATACTGTACCAATCTACTTGTATGAGTAATCAAAATCTTAGAAAGTGTAAAAATGGTTGCCAGGGTCTGGAGGAGGGGAAGATGGAAAGTCACTGTTGAATGGAAATAGCATTTCAGTTCTACAAAATGAAGGGTTATGGGGATGGATGGTAGTGAGTTGCACAATATGACTATGTGCAAAGATGGTAAACCACACAAAAACCATCAGCAAATTAATTTTTTTCTAATGCATAATTGATCTGAGAGAGAAATTTCACCTATGAAATTTGATGTCTTCAAACCAAGGCAAAATTCAGGCTTTCCTATTCCCTATGAACAGACCTAACTCTATGCTGGAGCTGATCATGCTAATACCTAGTGAGGAGGCACTTTAGGCCCAGGACATACGGAGTTACTGTGCCAGGTACTTCACAGACATTGATGCTCACATCCTCTGCTATGGAGATGGGGGTTCAGCAAGTCCTGTGAGGAAGTGCCCCAAGATCGTAGCTGGTGAGTAGGAAAGCAAATTCCGGTTTTCTGGTGCCAGGTCCCACAAGGTCATTTAGAATCCTTTAAGAAAGAACAGCTCAGAGGTAGGAATAACAAATTTATTCAGAAATGGGTAAGTAACATATAGTCTCCTCCGTCCCTTAATGTCTCTTCCTCTCCTTTTGAACAAGAGATACACATGAGGAATGCGGAGGGGTGGGAGTTGGAGAGGGACACAAGGACTGGCCCACCACCTTCTCTTCCATTTCCCATGATGACACCCTGTAGAGCAGGGGAGGCAAATAGGCTCCACCCTGTAATGTACCATATGGCTATCCAGAGGACAAGGTCCAGGAGGCTGCAGCTAGGCTCATGAACGCTGTGATAGCCAGAGCAGCCTGGCACGGGACTTGGGGTGGGGGGGGAGGAGAGGGGGAGGATGGGGGAGAGGGAGAGAGGGGGAGGAGGGGGGGAGAGGGGGAGGAGGGGGGGAGAGGGGGAGGAGGGGTCAGAGGAGGGTAAAGCCATGCAGGCAGGATATTTACCATCCCTACTTGAAGCAGAGTCCAAGCAGTGATCCAACTGTCCCCAGTACCTGAGAAACCAGGTCCTACTGCCTTGTAGGTGTTCTCATGGATCAGGAAGGGGCAAGTGTAGGAGGAATGTCTTCCAGCTGCGTTTGCACCCATTCCAAGGGGGAAAAGGGAACAAGGGAACAAAAGCAGCATTCTTTGAAGAACCAGAAGGTGGAGCGCCATCAGGTACCCCCCACTGACTTCCAAGGCCTGAGCAGTCTTAGAGCTGGAGGACTGAACGGTGCTCAAAGCCTGGGTCCTTCCTGCTTACAGACCGAACTCTGGAAACATGAGTTTCCAGATTTTTCTTCACTGGGCTGGTCGCAAGCAGGCCACAAAAGGCTCTTAAGTGTCTCAGGTCCCCTCTACTTCCTAGACTCGTGCCTTTCACAGTGCTCACTTGCTACTGATTCTGAAGAGCTCCCCGAGCCCTGCTGCCCAACTCGCTCCAGGTCTGCCACCTGGATTCCCTCTGCAGTCCCAACAAAGCAGCAGGAGACTGAGGAGGCCAGTGACGCCATGCTGTCCTGGTATTCAGTTAGGGGCTGCCCCTGGGGGCTACAGTTCTGCCCCAACTCACCTGGAAGGGCTGCTCTGCTCTCTCCACACCCTGCCTACCACCCAGCACTCCCTGCGCCCTTCACTGCCAAGGCAGGGAAAGACCCCTCTGGTCATGGAAGGATGGGTCAGTCACAACACTGGGAACAGTGCCCCTTGGTGGCAGGTGGATCTGTGCCTCTCTCAGCATCCCTACTGTCCTGTAGGCATCTGAGGCCAGAAAGGAAGAGCCAGGAGCAAGCCAGTATCTCCCATTCAAATAATCCCCAGACCCTCAGTGTCACAAAACAAGAGGCAGACCTTTAAAAAAAAAAAAAAAAAAAATCCAACTAGCAGAGAGCTGGCATTTGCACCCAAACCAGGTGTGACAAGCGCTGTGCCAGGTGAGAACTGGGAGGGCTGATGATGCACACTTCTCCTGGCAATGAGACCCAGAAGGCTGAGAGCTGGGGTGGGGCACACGGCAGGATGCAAGGACAGGGAGACGTGAACTCAAGAACGGACCGTGAGCCGCCAGAAGATAGCGCAGCAAGGACCGGGGATGCTCTTCCCAGCAGAGTGGCAGCCTCACCTGCCCTTGCCACATGGCCCTCTCCAGACCACACTGTCTAGAGCCAATCGTGACGCAAGGACAAGAGGGCTGTGGCCTGATCCCCGCCCGGGCCACCTGCAATGACCAGGCAGGTGACTGGCACAGCTCTCGAGCTGACCTGGCTTCCCGGAACTAGGAGGGCAGGGGCTCCCACTCCCCACTTCCTTTGAAAGTTTAAAAAAGAGAAAGGGGAGGCAACTCCTCGCCTCCTGGAGAAAAAGGTGTCCTTCACAGAGGCCCCTGCCCTGCATTCCACGGGGCCACAAGAAAGCCATCCAGAGAACTTAGGGTACCATTTTCAAACAAGAAATCAGTTTGGGGCTGAGATGAGGGGGAGAGACACTGAGCAACACAAGCCTACCTTGGTGATGAGGTGGAGGGAGAAGAAATAGACTACAGGAAATGTTAACGTACAGAAGAGCACAGGGTAGAACACAACACAGAAAGGTGGGTCCCGTCCAGTGAGGAAGCGCTCTACCCCCGGCAACCCTTCCCACGCTCAGGGGCCTCCAGTCCAACGGCCCATTGGTCACAAGCTTTGCTTTAGGAAACAGAGCCACCCTCCTCTGCCCCTGCTTCTGGCTGCCTCACCCTCCCGCCCCTCCAGCTCAAAGTTTGATTTTGAATTCTGTGGGCTGTGTAGTCACAGACGCCCCTGAAGACTTGAAGAGCGCTTTCAGGATGGTGTCAGGGTCCACTTCGGCAGGAGGGTTAGATGAGGCGGTAGAATTCACCCTGCGAGGCAGCTCAGTCTCCTTCTTCACTGAGGGGCTGTCACTCAGCCGTCTGTGGGGAGCAGAGAAGAGTCAAAATCCTTGTCAGTTTTCCCTCAGATGGGAAGGGAGCCCATCATTTACTAAGTCTGTTATGAGAGCTAGGTGCTGAACATAATGCTTTTTGTACCTCCTGATCTCATGACATTTTATAGCAAATCCATCATTTTTTAATTTGCAGTTGACAAAATTGAAATGCAGCCTGTTGTGATCTGGGGTTTTAACTTTAGGAAATGCTGCATGCCCTTTAGAGACAATCACATACACATCAGCTTATTACGTAGTTAGAGAAGGCTTGAAGTCAAGAAATCGGCTTCACTCTCTTTAGCCCAAACTTACTAGGTCGTAAAACCCACATTTTCCAGAATACAACTTATTCCTGGAGTGCAGCTTAAAACACTAGTCCAAATCACACAATTCATTATCTGAGGTTCAAATTCCGGTCTTTCTAAATTTCAAAGTCTGCCTGCCCCACCCACCTTGGCAAGTCTAATACCTTCCTGAGGTTTTGCCTCCTCTTCTATAAAAGGACGTCCTGCCAATCTACATTTCATGCATCTCAGGCTCCAAAAAAAGCCTCAGTCTGGGCCAGGCATGTATGTGCAGGTGCATGTCATAAAACAAGGGCCGGCAGCGGGGCCTGTCTCCACCAGGGTCTGGGACAAGGAGGTAGCATTTTCCATTCACTTGGATGGAGCCCACAGTGGAACAAAGACACAACTGGTCTGCTCGCCACTCTCTTCTCAGGCATTTCTGAATTATAAAGCTGAGAACGAGGTCTAAACATGAGCCCCCGTGGGGTCAATGCCCTGCGGAAATGACAGGTCACTGTACACCACTCAGCAACGCGGTGGCCCACCTGGGGCGGCCCACTCAGCGTCAGCCCGGAGGAAATGCCAGAGGAAGTGCTGACGCAGGCACGTTACTCTGCAGAATGACAAGAACCCCACAGAGCAAACGAGGAGAAAAGCTCCACCCGGCCCCCAGCACCGCTGCCTCTGGAACTTACAGCAGGATGGGCTGGTCTGAGGTGATGACGTTCCCGTTCATGTGAAGGTTGCACTTCATGGGTTGCCCTGAAAAACCAAGGAAAAAAAGGTTCTGCGATGAGACTTTGGCTCAGGACAAAAGGACAGGGGCTCCCTCTATCACCAGGAGGTCGAAGCCCCCACTGCTGGCAGCTCTGGCTCACGACGGGGGAAGGGGCTGCCAGGCTCTGGGAATCCCAGGGCATGAGGTCCACGAAACCTCAGCAAGGACGGCACCAAAGTAGAAACAGACCTCACTTCTCACTTTAAGCAGGAGAGGAGAGCAGAAGGAAGGGAGAACCTGAACTCAGTGCGACTCTGTCTAAACTCGTTTGTGAGGTAAAGAAAAATGTTTATGCAACACAATTAAGTGAAAGAAGAATTCACAAGTGCACACACAGGCTTCCACTTGGTCTATGAAGGATTAGCTGCTCCAGGTACTGACTGCGACGCCGCTCTCCACACTATGAGAGGAGTACAGCAATCCCAGCACACGAGAGGGGGAAGAGGGAACAGAGCCATATAGGGGTCACATTTCTAATACCTCACTGGAATTAATTTAATACTTATCTGAAATAGATTCTGGTACTGTAAACCCTTGAGCAGCCATTAAGGTAGCAACTCAAAAAATAGAGTGAAAAATGGGGCGCCGGGTGGCTCAGTCAGTTAAGTGACTGCCTTCGGTTCAGGTCATGATCCCAGGGTCCTGGGATCGAGTCCTGTGTCAGGCTCCCTGCTCAGCAGGGAGTCTGCTTCTCCCTCTGACCCTCCCCCGTCTTGTGCTCTCTCTCTCTTTCTCTCAAATAAATAAAATCTTTAAAAAAAAATTACATATATAGTGAAAAAAATCTTTAAAGGACCTAAAATGTCACATTAGAAAATATTCACGCAAGTGAGTAGAGAGGGGCGGGAGGGAGAGGGAGAAAGAATCATAAGCAGACTCCATTCAGAGCTTGAACTCAACGAGCTCGATCCCATGACCCGAGATCATGACCTGAGCCGAAACCAAGAGTCGGATGCTAAACTGAGCTACCCAGGTGCCCCAAGACAAAGGAGGTCATTTTGCAAGGATCAAAGGGTCACTCCACCAGGAGAGAGCAATTATAAACATATATACAACTAACATCTACAAACATATATACAACTAACATCAAACCCTCAAATACACAAAGCAAGACTAACAGAACTGAAAGAAACAATCATAGTTGAGGATTTCAATACTTTGCTTTCAGTAATGGATAGAACGAGGCAGAAGACTGACAAGGGAACAGAAGATTCAAACAACGTTATGAACTCACTAGACCTAACAGACATCTACCGGCAGCAAAATACATATTCTCCTTAAACACTCATGGAACAGAAGGAAACTTGGCAAATTCAAAAATACATGGAAATTAAAAACAATCTTAAATAACCAATGGGTCAAAGAAGAAATCACAAGGGAATTCAGAAAATACTTTGAGATGAATGAAAATAAAGACACAACATACCAAAATTTATGGGATG